CCTCAACATGTTTCTGGACTGTGTGGGAGGAAGCTGGAGAACCCGGAGAGAACCCACGCTGCACGGGGAGAACATGGAGACTCCACACAGAAAGATTCCGGTGCCCCCACCGGGACGTGAACCGACAACCTTCAAATTAACTGCATTATCAAAATAGCTGGAGTTTAATTTAACAGTTGACAACTAATCAATTAATAGTTGCAGCTCTGTCATGAACCCCTCCACATGCTGTATATGCACTGAAGACACGACTGGATTTAAATATGAAGTTTGTTTCTTTACAAAGTCAAAAAACTTTTCCAGGTTGTTCCACATATAAACTCCTATATTTTATGTCTGCTCTGATTTTTGGTTTCTTAAGCTGAACTTCAAAGAAACTGTCATAATCAATAAACTTCTTGCCAAACTGGATGAGAAATCCTGAAAGTACAGGCGAAGATGTCGTGATATGATTTAAAACTCTAGAGCAGCTGCTAAATGAAGAGTGTAACAGGAATATTTAGACATTCACCACACACAGACTCTAACGAGAGCTGCTGCATTATGGGAATTGTAGGACCCTGAGATTTGGGACATTTTTGATTCACGTTAGAGCTAAAAGTCTGGATATCTTTGCTGCTGAATCCTATTTCACTGGTTAAAAGTGGAACTGCAGGACTAAATCATTGGAGCAGCTCTTTAAAGAAACATGATGCTGGGAGAGAAACCAGCTGAATTAACTATGCTGAGCTGTTTGGGATGTTTCCATGTGTCCAGTTTGGAGCTTAGCATGTAATTCCAAACCACAGGTTACATTACCGCCTCTGGCTGCAGGGATTCACCATGATATGTACATTGAGATGATCCCAGACCCTTCTGCAGGTTGGCGGATGAAGCAGATGGTGAGATGATTGCGTAACACAGTGAGAGTGGGCCAGCAGGCCTTTCAGGAAGCTTCTGGCAGCATCTCTAATCTGCATCGGCATGTTCTCAGCTGTATTATCTGCACCTGCATCCTACTGTCTTGAATCACTGATTTAATCAGCATTACTGCGTGCTAACTTGGATTTTCTGGAGACTCGCTGGAGACATTTCTGGAACTCTTGAGACTCTAAAATGATTGTACAAACTCAAACCGAGTGGAGGAAGATGTGTTCAGATGTGTTTAAACTATAACTAACCACTGACCATGTGCGGCCCCTAAAATCACTGGCAGCGAATAAGCCCAGAACTTTATAAGTGCTGCAATCAATAAAAGTCTGTTCTAGCCTCTTTTTTTTTATCCCAACCAAAAGCATTGAGCATCAATATAAATATTAGCATTTCTAATATCAAATAGTTTTAAACTGATTGTATCTAGTACTCTACACTGTCATGGAGATCAATAAATAAAGTCATCTATGCTTATAAATTGAATGGCACAGGTCTCTTTGTGGTAAATTAGCTACAGTTAGCTGCAGCGTGGCCACTTTATTAGGCACAGATTGCTTCATCATGTTGGCTTCATGTTTACACTGTGAGCGAGGTTCTGACTGAGTTTGGCACTGAGGTTACAGCTACTGAAGATATTTTTTTACTTTTGATTGTTGCGCAACACTATTAAAAAACTAAATCTGTAAAACCAGAGCCAGAGAATGAATTTTTTTTTTAAAAAAGGGTGAAAATTTGGCAGCGAGGGGACCAGAAAAAATACGTTACGATGGAATACTGTAACGCTCTAACACTGCTAACACAATGAAAACAACTGCTCATACAGATTTAAATACAAGTAAACTTATGTAATTTTATGGTCACACATTTTAAAAGAACACATTGCTGTTGATAAATATGCAGATTTTTGATGTGGATAAACATGTAAACGAATGCTTTTTCTTCTGTGACTTTACCAGATATCATCTGTAATTGGACAAAACGGGGGACATCCAGTAAAGAATGTTAAGTTGTTTTAAAAAAACAGTTAATACCAATGAATGTTTTTCCAGAAAAGCTTTGCCCCGTTAGGGTTTTACCAGTGAACTGCTGAATTTAATGACACCTCTCACCTTCTATCAAAACGATGCCACGGCCCTTGTTTGAAGTGAACCCACTGGTGCATCCTGTTCTGAGTCCTGCCCACAACAACTGTGAGTGAGTCAAGAAATGCAAATACCCCCAAACTCTTTTTGGGGGTATTTGCTTTCTGATAATAAGGTGCAGCCAGACCATTCCACACTGCGCTATGGAGAATGGTCTGGCCATGTGAGGCGACTAAAACCAAAGTCTTGACAAACACAACCCAGACCTCAGCACTTAGCTCAGGATCAGGTGAAGTCAAACGATGCACACAAGCTGCAATCAGTCCGTTACAGACACACATGTTGTGAACAAGTGCTGCAGTAATGTTGTACAATTAGAATGTGCGTTTGTGACCGGAGGCCTGATGGCATCAACATTTACAGCATTGGCCCTTTCAGACTTCCTGTTTCCACTGACGGAGCCGACAGCCTCTAGTGCGCGAAAAACAACAACAAACAGTAGATACTGGACGTAACTCCAGTTCTATGAGCACGTAGAAAGTAAGACAGTGGAGGTTTGTTTTGTTAGCCTTGTTGCTGGTGGCGATATTTTAGAGAAGACTGATACTTGAAGAGGACTTCATGATCACCGTGATGTCTCCGGAGTCATTTATATACCTCGAAAACAGCCCTGAAGGCGCTTCTATGGGGCGGTTCATGCAACTGGAACATGCTCCAAAGTTTGGGTTGCCATAAAACAGCTCATTGTTATCTGAACATTATAAATGTGCAGGTGGACGTTATGACTCACTCTTGTATTGGATTGCACCAGATTAAGCAGGCGTTCCAGATAAAGTGCTCTGACTGTGCATCACATTCATATTGTCGTATATTTCAAGGAGTTTAAATGTCCTGGAGGCTCAAATCTTAATTGTGCTGAGTGACACGACACAGCAGCTGTCGGACAAATGTAGAAATTGCGCCGTTTCCCTTTTAAACATGGCCGAGTAGAAGCAGAAAGTGGCATTACAGTGAAATACTCGAGTACCAGTCCCTGAAAACTGTACTTGAGTAATCAGTTACTTTCCACCGCTGTGTGAACTGAGTACAGAGTGAGTTTGAACGTCACCGTACGCGACCCGAACCCCAGACGTGTGAAGTGTTGACAGTGGAGCAGCGAAGGCGGCGCCTCAATAATCTCCTCAGAGTATAAGAGGGACCCTGAGCCCCCGAGAGGCTCCACAGCAAGCCTAGCATAGAAGTCCACTCGTCTGCTAGACAGAGCAGCGCTGCGCTCACTCGTCTGGCTGTTCTTCACCCAAGCAGCCGGTGAGTAAACCCACATCAACACCGACGCGATCGGCGCTGCTTCACCGTCTGGATTTAACATAGCAAACTCATTCTGGAGCTGCGTGGAAGTCGTGGATTTTTGTTTTTTTTACTTCATTAGCTGCAGAAAATTCAAGATAAAACGTTCAGTGCTGCAGATTTAGAGCTCCAGAGATCCTCCTGCATGTTAGTGATCATTTCATAATGTAGTTAAACAGACAATAAGCTCCTTATTTAAGTTTTGTGTTGCAGATGATCGTATTGATTGTTTGACAACCTCTGACCTTCATTTAAATTTAAATAACAGTGTTAGAATTTTAAATAAATACAGCTGGACAGTTGGGAGACAAGAAATCAACTTTTTTTTAATAGTTTATCAATCTGGGGGAAAAGCTCCTCTGTTGGTGTTGTTGTGTTTGATTTAACGTGCAGGTTGTTGTTTACTTTGTTTATCAGTCCGCTTTTAGAATTACATGATAAACACAAGACGGATTTCAGCACCAACATTAAAATGAAATCTTTCTCTTTATTAATTTTTGTGCACAAATGCAGCATGTTTTTTTTTTTTTTAGATCTACAAAACCAAGCTGGTGAAAGTTTTCTCACCACATGCAGCTGCACAAGAACTTAGCAAAAGAAGAATCTCTGCGAGGATTAGTTGGCAGGTTTTCATTCTCAGCATTTTCTTAAACGACTTTAATGAAACTGCTGTGACTTCTTTTCAGCTCACAGAATTTAAACTTTGCAGATTTTAAGATATTATGAGAGCGGACAGGAGGTGAAATGATTCATCGCTGGCATGAAATAAACGGTTGTTCTTGATTCGTACATAAAGTCTGCACTCGTTGTCATTTGTGAGTTCTATTTGTTGCTGTATAAGTTTAAACCGTCGGTATCGAACTGTTTTACCGGTTAAGCTCTGTTCAGGACTGTCATTGTCATGGGGACACGGTGAGCGGATTGATCATTTAGCCTCTCGGTGCGTCGCTCAGCATTTCTGCCGTGTTGTCCTTGCTTTAACGAGATTACGCCTGGCTTGAAACTGAGAGGGGGAGCGCTGATTAACTTGAGCCGGGGATTAGCGCAAATTGGGTCATCCTCTGCGGGGACGGGCCGCGGCGTGGTCCGCCTCAGACGTTCGATCGCTGGGAAACATGAGTGTAAATCCTGGCTCGTGCTGGTCGGGTCAGTAAGAGGATTAAGTCCTGTAATGTCACACAGAGGTGACAGGCGCTGCACGATAGCTGTTGCGTGAAATTAGACGTACAGATTAAACGAACGGTCCTTCACCTGCACCTTTGTTAACAGCTTTTCTCTTGTCGTTTCCAATGTTAAGTTATCACCACGACGACCACACTTCAGAGAGGTGTCTAAAGCCAACAGCCTGCAACGCACGAATCAGAAATAACTGCAAAGCATGAATCTCGAGCCACCAAAGACTGAGATCAAGTCGGCCACCCGTGTCACTGGAGGCCCCGCCACCCCACGCAAGGGACCCCCCAAGTTCAAGCAGAGGCAGACCCGTCAGTTCAAGAGCAAGCCTCCCAAGAAGGGAATCCAGGGGTATGTTCCGACCATGTTTTGCTTTAAAGCAGCAGAAGCGGTCACAGTGTCTGGTGTGTAATCCACTTCTGTGTTTGCAGATTTGGTGACGACATCCCTGGAATGGAGGGCTTAGGCACAGGTGAGCTGATGTCCAGGTTTAAAATACGTCTGAGCTGCAGGGGTTCAAACAATCTCACATCTGCCCTTCTCTCGCAGACATCACCGTCATCTGCCCCTGGGAGGCCTTCAACCACCTGGAGCTGCACGAGCTGGCCCAGTACGGTATCATCTGAGCCTTCGGGCGTCTCCCTGCCGTCCCCTGAGGATCGCAGGCCGCGCTCCTCCAACCATCTGCCTCGGGCTCCGACTCCAAGCTTTACATGGAACCACTCCAAACAAACAACCACAACGAACTGTAACGAACACAAAAAACGGAAAAAGAGAAAAAAAAACATCTACAAAAAAAAAAAAAAGGAACAACTTCTCTAACTCTGGATTCTTCCTCGTCTCACACACAACATGTGCTGATATTTAGGATCTGTTGAGTTCTCGTGCACCGTTACTCCCTCTGCCGCTCTCTTCTCTTTCGCTCCTCTCTTCTACCTTCATCTTTCTTCTTTTCTATCCTTCCTCACGGACCGAACCTACGCAAGCAAGGCAGCCTCAAATTGAGTTTAAGTGACAAACCCGTGGAGTGGGTGGGTTCCCACTTCGCGTGCTTCGGTGCCTCTTTCGCCACCTTCAGAGGCTTCTCCATCGACGTACAAAAAACTAAACCTGATTTCTGTAGAGAGCCGACAACAGCTTGCCATTGCTGAGCGTAAAGTGGGTAAAACAGACATCCCTCTTTTCCCTCTGTGTGTTTTTTTTAACCGTGTCCGACTTCATCCGGGTAAATTTTCTACCGCCGCAATTTGTGGAAGTCCGCTGGTAGTTGATGAATGTGAGGAAATCTAGCGGCAGATCAGAAATAAACCACACATTTAACAAGCATCCAGGAAAAACAGAACTTCTTCCAGTAGCTTGTGTTGTCACATCTCCCTTGTACAGTTTTAATGTGTATGAGTCCATGTATTGTGTGTTTATTGCGTGTTTGTTTCTCATACGTTCTGCCCTGTGGGTTTATATTTGTGTTTTTAAGGTCATTATTTTAGTCGTGACGTATAGAATATTCCCTCGTTGACCTTCATCCGTCAACCGTCATCCAGCTCGTTTGCTTCACCTCCATTGTCCTCTTCATCATCATCATCATCATCATCATCATCATCGCCCTGCTGCCCTCCACACTTTTAAAACGTTATTCTAACGGAGACGATAAGTTTTACCTGCTGACGTGAAGCTGGACGTGAAGCTGGACGCTCTGTGGTTGTGAAACACGGCGGAGGAACGAGTGGGACGGATGGTTCAGTCCACGGCCGGAATCTGAAGAGATGTGTGATGGAGCTTTGTCCTCTCTACAGGACGAGGGATTAAAAAAAATAAAGCATAAAAAGAGGAAAATAAAAATGGAGATTGTTTCATTTTGATCCTTTTTTTTTAACCTGGAGTGTTTAGCTTCAGAGTTTCATTGATCACCTGCTCACACAGTTTAAGCTCGGCAATAAAAACAAGATAAAAGATTAAATAAAAAATAATATATTCCTTAAAATGAGAAACACTCAGAAACAATGAGGATTAAAGGGACCACAAAGTGCTCAGTCCCATTAAACATAAAGCAGGAACATGTGAACGCTTAAAACAGGACGTTAGGTGTGATTGCACTGCTCGTTCTGACATTTCAGTGAAATAAAACTATACTTAAGTGCTTTATTTAAGTTGCACTTGAATGACATTTTGACAAATGTGATACTGAACCATAAACGTAATCTATTTGACTCCATGTGCAAATATAAAATATAATAGAAATATAACAGAGACACAGCATATACCCATGGAGACAGTCACATCGCTTATTCGGTGTATTAACAAATATAAAAACAGTATTTCAAGATATCTGATTCCTCTTTTCACGAGGCAAAATTCTAATTCAATAAATCCACATTGTCAATGATCTGAAAAGGAAACTTGTGCTGAATTTAGGGGAACTAAAGAGATCTTTAACTGTAATTATGAATAAACTCTAGATATCAGAAACTGAAATGAAAACTGAACCAGTTGCTCATAATTCATCGGCAGGTGAATTGCAGATATCTGTGACTTTAAAACACAGAAATAGTAAAAGTGACATTATCTGTACTATCAGAATGAAGATGTGAATATTTGAAATGTTAATTTTTGTTTTTTACTAATAATAAATATCCAGTCTAGTAAACCAAACAGCTCCAGTTGTGAACATCAAACACATCAACATAAAGTCTGACAGTTAGAATTTCGATAAAGACAGAAATAGTCTGACTTTATCGCATCTTTATCCAGAATCCTGACAGGTGATGTTAGCTTGCTAGCTAAACACAGGCTAGCTAACGTTAGCTATCGCCAGCTCGTTTACGTTAGCGTTAGCATTAGCTAAGTTAAACCAAAATGGCTTGAAAATAATTATTTTTTAAAATAGATATAATTAACATGGCACCAAATTCCCCTTGCCTTAGTTATTTTTTCTCTCCGTCCCCTGTGCTTGAATTAGTTGGTTTTAACTCTCTGTTTTGTGGCTAAAACATCGATGCTAACTGAAGAGTTTCAGGACGACCAGAGGCTCTAAAAGCAGCAGCATCGACTGAAGCTTCTAAATAAAGTTCTGGAGGAAACGTTCAGTGCTCTGATGTAACTAAGTACATTTACTCAAGTACAAATCTGAGGTTCTTGTACTCTACTTGAGTATTTCCATTTCAGGCATCTTTATACTTTCACTACATTTTTCAAACAACTTTTTCAGATTACAAGTTGAAAATTGAATGAATTTGAATTCATCATTTATTTATTCATTTTTAGTACCTCTTAAGATACAGGATTTTTTTTAAAAACCGTCTTAGATGTTTCTCACAGGACAGTCGTGCTGCAAATATGTGAGGATCTGACAGAATATGAAGCATTTCTGTGCATTAAAAAGCACATGAAGTGGAAATTAAACATTTACTGGAGTTAAATGCACATCGATGCAACTCTTCTCATTTTAATCCAAAAACAACATATATGTCAGTAAAACACAGCCAGGGGTCGATTTCCTGCAGAATAACTACCTTTTGATTTAAAACTCACAGTTTTTCTACTACTTCACACATTTTTGCACATTTAGCAGCAATGTGTCCGTTTACTCGCCTACATTTTGTCTTATTAGTAATTTTGGTGCTGACTTTTTTTGTTTTTGTTTGATTAAATGCTTTAAAGATGTAATTAGGTCCAACCAGTGTCAATTAAGAATAAAAATATAACAACAAAAGTCACTGGAAAGTGGAATTAATCAGACAAATCTGCCATATTTTCTGTTTACTGTCGCTGAAAGCTCCTTAAATATTACACAACGTTCACAAGTTCATCAGCAAATGGAGTATTTTTAATTAAAATGTTTTATTTGTTATATTGTGGCTCAGACGCTGCAGTCGTTTGGTGTTATTTAATTACAGACCATTTAATATATTTAAACCATTTAGTGGTTCACTTTAAAGCTGAAGAAACCCAAACGTAAACTACTAAAGTTTTTACTTACATCTGATGCACAAAACAAAACGTCGAAAGGCAACAAAACTTTATGAGCAGATTTAGACTGAGCACAAAGGAGGCCATGTGGTGAAAGTATGCAGGAGAAATAACTTAAACCTGAACTCTTACAGAGCTGCTGTGACAACAAGAAACAGGTGAAACTAATGAGGGCGGTGCAGACTAATTACTGGAAACACAGCTGCAACGTAAAGCAGGAGAATCTAACCGGAAACCAGAGGAGACGCTGCAAAAAAGAAAGTACAGCAGTGACCACAACATGATTAATAATAACTGTCATTAGCGGCTTCAGCAGCAAAACCAAAGACAAACATTTTGTTCCATCTGATTCAGTTTTAATCAAATATTATCAGACGCAGATCCGTACGTCGTCAGTCGAAGGGAAGTTTTAATCATGAGAGTTAAAGGTTGGTTTATGGTTTTATTTTACATGAATTCTCTCTCAGCTGAGCGGATTTGTTCCCCTGAAAGTACAGAAAGCATTAATAAACCGATAAATAGGGCAACAGCAAATCCAAGACACCAGCTTTTATTGTTAATCTGTCAGAAATTCACATTTATGAAGATGTTAAGACTCCTCACATCCCACCGGCCACAAGTTTGTTCATTCAGCAGCTGAATCAGTCCAACGTGAAGTGAACCAGAAATCTGATTTAACGTGTGCAGTTGCTGATGTCGATTTTCAGCCTCTCTCACTGATAAACTTCAGCAACGACTACAAACACGTAGAAGAAGAAACTAAAATCAGACAAATCCATTCAAAGTACAGACATGAAGAGTCGCATTACCATCTGTGGAGCGCCCACAGTCAATAAAACCACAACTCCTCGGTTGGTGATTTGCACTTTCTACTCACAACTCAGGCACATTCAATGACTTTGGCCACAAGTTTCATCTCTAAACTCATCGTCATTGGACCCTAACTGGTCTTCAGCTCTAAAAATATAAAGTTTTTGCACATTTTTCTCCATTTTCTTTACATTTTCGACATCTCATCCTAAAGCCAAGTCGGGATCATTTAGAGTTTTGAAACGTCGTCCATCGATCTGTTTTAGATTTACAAGTCAGTCAAGTTTTGGTCTTTTGTGAAAGTGGATATATTCACATGTTGTCACTAAGCTTGCATATTAAATTGCACTTTACCTCTAAAGGGCGTCAAAAAATTATGTGTCATAACTGGCTGCATGAATTTGTTTAAAAATACAATCTAGGATCATGACTTCACTAAATTTAGCAATGAGTGATTAATGTGGGTCTGACTTATTACAACAAATCTAAACGTCTAAACATTTCATATCTTAAACTTTACAAAATGAAGATAAATCACCCATATGTCCTACAGAGAGTCACCTTTTCACCACTGATGTGTAGCGAAGGTTTGCTTCACTGCAACCTGTGGTCACTTTAAACGTCAGTCACCCAATATGTCTTAAAATGTACTAATAAATCTGCATCAGTTAATATCTACGTCTCTACACGTCCTAATTCAATTACCACCAGAATAGACAGACGTTCTCTAGATTCTAGTTATCACATGTTTCAGGTGGTGTCTGTCTTTCTGTGATTAGCACTGTATGCATAGTACGATCTATTCTGACAAGTGTTAGATCCAACGTCTGCAAAATATAAGACAGAACACGTAGAACCAGCAGAATAATGTTGTTGGTTTTCTTTTTCCTGAATTTTCTCACCAACATGTTGACTGTTGCAAACATTTTTGGATTTAACCCTCCAAACTCCGAGCAGCTTTTGGAGTCATTTTTCGCTGCGATATAAAGTCCTGCACCTCCATGGAAACAGAAAAACCAAACATACAAGTATAACTTCAATGCCATAAATCATAACAAAGTAAAAGTGGCATTACTCTGTATATTTATCAGAAGTTTTCTAAACCTGGAATCAACATGTCCAACACGTTTGCTCACAGGCGTTAAAATATTGAAAAGAAAGTTTATTATTCGCTTTTTTTTTTTCTTCTTCTTTTTTTTACGAGGCAATGCTGAATAAAGCAACACTGATGAAATATCACAAATTCAGAATTAGATTTTTGGTAAATTTTCCAGACAGAGCTCTACGTTTTACACAATCTCTTCAAAGATCATTGGAAAGTTGAAAATTTAGTCGTTCTTTGTTTTTACTGACACTGATAAATGGTGTAATTTGGGTGTTTTTTTTTTTTTCTTTTTAGAAAAGAGAAGCCTTTTTTTAAACCTGGTAAAGCAGGGGTGTCCAATCCTGGTCCTCGAGGGCCACAATCCTGCATGTTTTAGACCAGGATTGGACACCCCTGTGGTAAAGGGTTTGGAGGTTCAGAGGGTTAAATAACCAAAAATAAACCCAGTTTTGCACACGAGATGTTATTGCCTCAAGAAGGCGTGGTGGAAAACCATGTCACAAGTAACCCCCTAACACAATTCTACATGATAAATCTTTCACAACAAACCCTGACCAGGTGCTACTCTGTGTGGACTCTCATGTGTCTTTTCAGATTTGTTTTCCAGACAAATCTTTGTCCACATTCACCACAGACAAAAGGCTCCTCTCCCGTGTGGACTCTCATGTGTGTCGTCAAATGTGCCTTTTGAGTAAATTTTTGTCCACAATCGTCACATCCGAATGGTTTCTCTCCGGTGTGGACTTTCATGTGTCTCTGCAAATGTGCCTTTTGGTTAAATCTTTTTCCACAGTCGTCACAGCCGAATGGTTTCTCTCCCGTGTGAACTCGCATGTGTTTCTTCAAGTCCACTCGTTGCGTGTAACGTTTACCACAATCCTCGCAGGCAAACGGCTTTTCACCTGTGTGGACCCTCAAGTGTGCCGTCAAATGCGCTTTTTGGTTAAATCTTTTACCACAGTCCTTGCAGGCAAACGGTTTCTCTCCTGTGTGGACTCTCATGTGTGTCTCCAAATCCACTCGCTGTGTGTATCGCTTATCACAAACAGTACAGGCATAGGGTTTCTCTCCTGTGTGGACTCTAGTGTGTGTCTTCAGATGTGCGCTTTGGGTAAATCTTTTACCGCACACGTCACAGCCAAACGGTTTCTCTCCAGAGTGGACTCTCATGTGTTTCTTAAGGCTACAATGGTGTCGAAATATTTTACCACAAAAGTTGCAACCTAATGGTTTCTCTCCTGTGAAAACTCTCATCTGTGAATCCACATTTTGCTTGTTGAGAAATTGTTTTTCAAGCTCAGAATAGCAAAAGGGATTTTTATCCGCGTTACAGTCCACATTACTATTTACAGCTGAGTCCGGTGCCTTGGTCTCTTTCCAATCTTTGTCACTGTCTTCAGAATCGGTCAAAGGTTCCTGCCACTCTTCCTCATCTTCATCCCCTTCATCATTACAATCATCAATACTGACCTCTATCTCAGAATGGTCTAAACTTTTTGCATCAGTTTTCAGTAAACGCCTGTTCAGATCTGGGTTCCTGGTTGGTTCTGGTCCTCCACAGTCCTCCCCATCGATTTCTATTTTAATCTGTTTAGCTGAGCTGCCGGCTGGAGGTTCTGCCTTTGAGGACTGAGGTTTCTCTTCATCGTCTTCACTCTTAATGCGAACAGCAGTGAATGAAAACTTGCTGATATCAGTCTGCTCCTGCCCATTAAGCTGCTCTCCCTCCTGACTGCTCCACGGCTCCTCCTGTTCCTCCTTTATGTGGATGAACTCCGGCTCCTGCTGGTCCGTACAGGGGCTCCAGGGAACCTCTTCTTTAATGACCAACACCTTCTGGACATCTGCAGGTAACACTGAAACACACATGCATTATGAACACCTGTGACTTTACATTATACAGCAGCACAGAACTCGTTATGACAAGTAAATGAGCTTTTAAAGGAGTTAATAAGAACACATACGTATAACCGTATTCTGATGTGACAGCTGATTAATAAAATCATTTATCTTAACTTTCAAAACAGAAAGTTTTGCACATTTCCAACAAAAACCTTTCACAGACGCAGCTAGCTCTTGTTTAAAATCACTTGGACGGGTTTTAAAAAAATTTAGTGGTTTTTAATTGGTCATAAACATTTCATTTTGCTAAAAAATAGTCAGTTGATCAGCAGTTTTTAAGCTGCAGATAGAGAAACAGAACAAAGTTAGTGCAGATAATCTGTGACAGTAAACATCGACAACATGAACAACCCTGATGCTGGAACCGTTGAAACGCTTCTGTGAGTTATGTAAAGACTTAAAATAATAATGTGTACAAATGTGACACCCTGACAGTCACATTCAACATATGAATAATTAAAACTACTGTCTTGAACATCTTTTACTCTTTGTGAGTATTTTGAGTTGACTCACGGGACGGATGCATTTGAGATGGGACAGAACATCAGGTGCTGTGTGACACGTAAGCATCTACACGGAAACGTCTGTGTATTGACAATCTACTACTTTACCTTTAACAGTAAAATGAAAATATTCCTACAGCTGTGATGGAGCTCCGACCCGAGGACGATCGCTACATAACTACAGATTTACCTGCAGCTGACTCGCTGTGTGTCTGAGGTAAGGAAAAATACACAGCCCTGGTTTTTTTCTGTTAGATTCTGATCCAACCTGTCTTTATATCAGTGTTATTTACAATTCTACAATTCAAATCAAGTAATTAGTAAAGTTGTGCATAAATGTGTGTCGCTCTCTTATGTTGAGATGCTCGTATGGGTCCTGTTGCAGGAAGTTAATAAACTCAGATGAAAGACTTCTACAAAGAGATGACGGCAACAGACAAAACTTCAGCTTTACTGCAGTAAAGTTTTAGTTTTTAATGTGTGAAATCATGTAGAAAAGTAAAGGAAGAAGCCAAAATGTGGGGAAAAAAAACTTCCCTTGAATCGCTTCATACAACTCTAACGGTCCATCTATTAGAGCAGGGGTCTCGAACTCCGGTCCCGCAATCCTCTTCCAACACACCTGATTCAAATGATCAGGATCGTTATCAGGCTTCTGCAGAGCTTGATGCTGAGCTGATCATTTGAATCAGGTGTGTTGGAAGAGGGAAACATCTAAAACTTGCAGGATTGCGGCCCTCGAGGACCGGAGTTCGAGACCCCTGTATTAGAGTGATCGAATGCAGATCAGATTTGTGATGGAAGTAAAATGTTAATCGGCCCGACATTTACAGAAAGGTGAGCAGGATGTTCATTTAGACATGAAGGAGACATGTTCAGAAGCTGTCAGATTAACAGAAATGAATGCTGGTGTGAGAAGAGCTTAACAAGCAGGTCGGCATCCTCCCTCATCCCCGTCACATCACCCACTGCTTCACCACATAACTCACTTTATATGGAAGTCAAACAGTAAAAGTAGCATCAAAAAGAGAATTTAAATAGCAAAAATGTATTTTTATTGTGTCAAACAGAAGGACAAACTGATATTTACCACTGAATCTAAAGCTATTTGAAAAAGAACTGATGCAGCTTGTACATCTTTAGGAATCTGTTTAAAACCGTTTATATATATAATTATCACTACAATAGACAGACTGTACTTTACATGTACAACATTAATGAGCCTTCTTTCTAACATTATACTTTGATGACATGCCTGTGATTGAACAGCTGTAAACAGCTGGATAATAAATAAATGTCTGAACCTGAGCAGCTGCAGGTTTAACAAACTAAACTCACTGA